TCCTCACTGATTTAAGATCGGACTACTTATGGTTTATTTTGTAAGATAATGGGCTACGCATTCATGACAATCAATTACAACTGGCAGCAGTATTTTCAAATAGATCTGTTTGACAGCTCATAGTGAAAACCGTGAATTTGACATCTGTATTGTATGTGAAGAGACTCGAGATGCAGGCTCACTCACTTGGCTGACAGCAGAGAAGCAGGTGACCCATCCAGGCAGGATTGCTCCTGGCCTGTGATGGGCTGTCAGGGTCATGTGACTTACTGGAGAGACCCCCACCCCCCACCCCCACAGCCATCACGTGATCTTCAAACAGCGGCGTTTACCATCGTTGGAATGATAGGTTGCCCAGTGTGCAAGAGTGCAGTGCTCAAAGTTTTTAACCAGTAGCAATTACCTGATAAGTGCTAATGATCCCAATCCACCAGGGGGGCTGTAGTCTACAGTAGTTAATTTTTAATCACGGCACACAGGAAATCCTTCTCTAATGGCCAAGCCTTGATTGCCTTATTGACTGTGCCTGTTCATTCCAGATAAGTTGCTTCCGATTTGTCTCTCCAAGCAGGTTTAACTCTGAAAAGGGGAAGCCGGGTTCACTCCAGTTTCTGAGAGGAACACAGAACACAAATGGGTGCAGGATCTGTAACGCCTGCAGACTGTAGGACTGTAGGTCACAACGCCTGCAGGCTCTGGTGTATTTCTGTATTGATCTGGGTGTGACGGGAGGCTCAGATTTCTGACTGGAAAGACCACAGAACAGCGGGGATGGTGTCAGTATTTGGTGCACCTTTCATTACTGTACCAGGGCGGGAATCCCCAACTGCCATCGCTAAACCCCCAGTTTCGTCAAGGGCTGCCTCAGTTTGGGGAGTGCAGCAGCCAGCCGGGAGTTGCAGGCTGGGGAGGGCGAATTTACTCGGGACAAACTGCTTCAGCATCTGAAACGATTCAGCAGCGCCCCCTGCAGGAGATCGCCAGAAGCTGAGGTCACCCAGCAGAGTCAGCTGCCATAGTGCCTCCCAGCTTTAAACACTACTGGGGGAAAAAGAAAAGCCACTAGTATGAAAGTAAGGAGGACCTGTTCCACTGGTAATATGATCAGGTCAGTGGGAGTTGGTAGGAACCTCCCGAGTTCAGTGCAGAGACTTTGGCAGAGTCGCGTTCTGTGACGTCTTTGAGGAATGATCCCTTTAGTCGGCTTCGTTGCTTTTTTCTTCAGTTGGGCGGACAGCCGCCGGGCGGTCAAGTGTACCGCATTTCTCAAACCCGCAGCCAGATGGTTCCGCCGCCGCCGGCTGCTGCCAGGCTGGCGGCCCGCGATTCCAGGGGAGAGCCCCTCCTAGCGGGGAGAACCCACACGCTGCCGGCCCAGCGCACACGTCTCCCGTCCCTCCCTCCTTGCTCCTCACTGAGGGCCCTTTCCCGGTCTCTGGCATGTGGGCCCTGGCTGCCTTCCTGACAGCTGTGGAGCCAGACTTGAGCACAAAATGAGCGGATTGCTTTGTTTCCATGGCAACCGGGGACTGCACATGATAAATTGCTTCTCACCAGCCCCAGTAGGTCTAGGCGTATAGTGGGTAGGAAGAAAAAAAAAAAACTGAGTGTATAATTTCAACACTTCAATACTGTTGGAACAAAAGGAAGCTTAATTATTGTTGGTGTGAAGCGCAAAATGACTTGACCCTTCACAAGCTCAATTATTCCCTGTTTGTAACTGAAATGCTGGTTTGCGTATTTGTTGCCGGTTGCAACTACCAAGAAATGAACCTGGTAGTTGGCTTCATGGGTGCGCTTGAAGAAGATGCATGGAAGACTGAAGGGAGAAATTTGGACACTTTTTTTCATGCAGTGGCGCTATGCTCTTTTTATTTTTACAATCGCTTGTAACAAGACATTGACAGATCGATCTCTGCATAAGATGGCTGTGGCGTGCAGAAATTGGGAATTGAAGTAGCTCATTTAAATATGTAAAATTATAATATTCAAATGGCCTAGCAGGCAGGAGACTGTCCATTTTTAGTTCAATATGGTCTTAGCTTTCAGCAGAATGATATTAAAAATTTCACATGACTGTACTTGGCTGTTGTTCTTTAGAAACAAAGAGTTTACTCCCTCGTGCACCAATGAGTGTGTTATTATCACCTGAAAGACAGGTAAATGGTAAAGCAAGGAAAAACAGTATAACCTACAGAAAAGGCAGGCAGCACTAGAGAAAGGATAGCCTGTTGTAGAAGGACATACCCATTTGACTCAGACAGGCCAGACCTGAATCCAGAGACTTGAGAGAGTTAAAGGACACAGATTTAGAATGGCGGTGAAAATGAGAACAGATTAGGCACAGAATGGAAAGGCAGTCCCCTTGCATTCTATAGTAGCTGTCAAATGAAAGCAGAGAGAACGATTTTACACACTGCAGGAAAGCGGGGATCAGAGACTGGAGTCTCTCTGGGGGTGCCGTGCTTCTGCAGAGCAGCAGTTTACAGTACATGTTCTGTGTGAGCCTTTAGCTGTCAGTGAGACTGAGTGATGACCTCTTACTGTACTGTACATCACCAGGTTTAAATGCAACTTCTCCCTTCCAGAATTTGCAAAGACTGTGCTTTTTATGCCATTTATTAACACCAGCTTACATTGATCCATTGGATCCTTAAATATGTAACTAGCCCTTTATACGTCTTAAAACATGTCTACAAAAAAATGCCTGCAGCCATTGCAGTCTCACGTGCAACAAAGAAAGGATAACTAAGGCATTGTAGATCAGTTTTGCTCTTGCCTCCAGATTCCTGAAAAAATACCATTCGTTTTGCTAAGGTTTCGGCTATCAACACTTTGTGCTTTTTGAGTGAATAAAACCCACGTTCTTGTCTAGAAGGTCCTTTTTGATAAAGACAAAGCAATTTCGATGTGCTATTGTTTGGCCTAATTCTGTTGTTTTCAGAGTATTGAGAGAAAGCAGATTTCTCACTGTCTGCATGAGAAGGCAGGGAGAAGTTTGTATGACAGTTCTCTTATATGATAATAGCCCATTATGTTTTATGAATCATGAGCAAGTCTTTTTCAGTGAATAAGATTAGACAGATTTGTTGTTTTTTTGCCACTTTAAATGTTTGTAGCACCCTCTATGAGTTAGAAACTAAGCATTCTCAAGAACCCCCATATGGAACAGCCAGATGTAGATCATTAATCAGATCTGGAGCATTTAATATACAGTGTGAGAGAGCTTTTGAAATACCATGCCAAAACTAATATTTCACTCTAGTTGAGGCTATGCCAAAGCTGAGGGCTTCATCCAATGCTTAGTTGGAGGGGCAGGAGAAAGGTTGTACCTTATTTCAAAAATTGCTCTTTATAACTGTAAAAGCAATGGCAGCCCATTTTGACATTTAGAGTAAAAATAACATCAAATAATTTATGATTTAATAGATCCTGGAGAGCCACTTTTGTGGAGCTCAGTTGGTAAGCTGTCTTAGTCCATTTCTATTTCCAATTCTCACCACAGGAAATACAATCAAACCTATGTAATTGAATATCAGCCCCCCAGCAGTTGCAAAAGAAGAAGATAGTTTTATAAGCTTATCCCTACCATTTAGATACTGCTTTGAAGATGGAAACGCCTTTTTTTTCTTGTTTTTGTATTAAAAAAATATTGTACAAAAAGCAAAAGGTTTGGAAAGAAATTGAATTGGAAGAGGTGTGTTATTTTGGGTGGAAATGTAAGTATATTTGGCAATGTAATTTTAGAAACCCTTACTTTTGTAATAGTAAAATAAGTAAAATCTACAAAATAAGTCTAACATACTTGCTTTTAATGAACCGGAACTTAACAGTACTGCCTGCACATACATACTGTAGTCTAGCAAGTAAACTTTATAATGGAGATAGCCCTAGGGTAGTGATTGCTGTGTGTAGCTGTAAGTTTGACTAAGTGTACTAAATTTCGAACATAACTGTTGGTTGCCCTCTTTAATCCATGGCATTCTGTGGTATGTCCCATCACTTTGATCCACAAGTGGGTTTGAAATGCTTTTCTGAATAAAATGAAAAATAAATGAAGTGTCTATCTTGCAGTCTTCAGCAAGCATGTCATAATCTATAATCTAGATGTCCACATTTCATGTTAGAAGTTTTTTTATTTGTGTCGTCAGAACTCTTGGTATCTTCCCCTCTGAAAAGGCAGACATACACCGATTTCCAATTATGTCACTTCTGAAGGTTTATAAACGTGCTTTTAATGGGGATATTTGTAATTTGGTGTGAAGCCTCATGGGCTCAGACTAGGCACAACTTGTGTGTACAAGTGAGCCATGTATTGTTCTGTCAGGAAGGTTGAAGGGCGTTTGTCTCAGTCCCAGTAAATGATGTTGCAGTTTCGGGGAGGGCGTGCCAGTTTAGCTTCTGCTGTAGTTCTGCCAAGGTCAGCATTGCTGTGCGAAAGCTACACTTTCATTAAAAATCATTTATCCTTGCTTAAACGGTTTCACACATTTATACTGAGCTTTAACACAGTACCATCGGATTTAACCTGTTTTTTCTTCATTTTGTCTCTTTGCGAAGGTGTGAATCTTTGCTTTACCAAGCGTGCTCCCTCATTTTAGCATCTGGCCTGTGGGTTCTAAGATTTTAAATATTTTCTGGATTTTACATGTCAATGGATGCAAACTACAATGGTAGTTTATTTCAGGTTGAGGTTTTTGTATACCACATATGAAGGGGGGAAAGAGTCATTTTTATTGAATATATTTTTATTTTTAATTTGGGCGTCAATGGAGCTTACTGTAGGTTCCCAAAGACAAAAGTTGCTCTTTGCATTGTGAATGAAGGTGTGGCTTAACAATCTGTGTAACAACAAAAAGTACCTTGATACAAGATCTACTGTACTGTGTGTCGCTGGAGCATGGCAGTATTTTATTTCATTTCTAGATTGAATCGGATGAGGAAGCTTGGATTCTCTGAATGGCCCCACGCCTCACCCTCCCTTGTCCTCTGCCTTCCAGGTGACGGAGCTGAACGAGGCCCTGTCCAACGAGGAGAGGAACCTGCTCTCGGTGGCCTACAAGAACGTGGTGGGCGCGCGGCGGTCCTCCTGGCGCGTGATCAGCAGCATCGAGCAGAAGACCTCGGCGGACGGCAACGAGAAGAAGATCGAGATGGTGCGGGCGTACCGCGAGAAGATCGAGAAGGAGCTGGAGGCCGTGTGCCAGGACGTGCTCAACCTGCTGGACAACTTCCTGATCAAGAACTGCAGCGAGACGCAGTACGAGAGCAAGGTCTTCTACCTGAAGATGAAGGGCGACTACTACCGCTACCTGGCCGAGGTGGCGACGGGCGAGAAGCGCGCCACAGTGGTGGAGTCCTCCGAGAAGGCCTACAGCGAGGCCCACGAGATCAGCAAGGAGCACATGCAGCCCACCCACCCCATCCGCCTGGGCCTGGCCCTCAACTACTCCGTCTTCTACTACGAGATCCAGAACGCGCCCGAGCAGGCCTGCCACCTGGCCAAGACCGCCTTCGACGACGCCATCGCCGAGCTGGACACCCTGAACGAGGACTCCTACAAAGACTCCACACTCATCATGCAGCTCCTGCGAGACAACTTGACACTGTGGACAAGCGACCAGCAGGACGACGACGGAGGGGAGGGCAACAATTAAAAGCCGGTGGACTGGGCAGCCGCTTAGCTGATGCTACTACCGCAAGCAGTCTTTATTTTTCCACAAGTTTAAAGATAAAAGAGGGTTGGGGGGAGGGGGGGAACCTTCCAGTAGTTAAAAAAAAAAATAGAAAAAAAAACCACCCTCCTCCTTCTTGATCGCCTCTTCGACATTTGCCAAAACACCACTTAGAGGAAAAGGTCGGTCAGTCAAAAAAAAGTGGCTGTTGTTGGATTGGAATGGCAGCCTCACACTGGCATCTGGACTGTTCTCGTAGTACAAACAACGTGGAGCTGCTTATTTAACTTTAGGGGGGGGGGGCTGATGATGTGAAAGATAGCAAGATAGAGTAAAAACGTGAATGTGAAAGCCTCAAAACATAGTTTGCAATGGTTCCAGTAAGCTTGAAGAAGGGGCTACCTTTGACCTGTTCAGAGAGCACTTCCAGGAATCGCACAGCACATCTGAATATTAGTACCCTTTCGAAGGCGCACACACACACACGTGTGCACCGAATTCTAAAAAGAAGGAAGTCTCCACCTTAGTTTAAACTTGGAAACATGACTCATCGGTAACTAGCCAACATGGTAGTGATGACCTACAGCAGGTGCACAGGGAGGATATGGTAAATCTCCTTTCCCCTTGCATGCCGATCTAACGTGTTGTTAATCAACCCTTAAGACTGAAAGCGATTATCGAGGGAATTCTGGAAAAGAACACCGAGAAAATTGCCCAAATGATGATAACGTGTGGCCACGGAACAAGGTCAAGCATTTACTGGAACCATGAGCTCTTTGGGGGTGTTAAGGTAACACTGACGGCAGAAAACTGATGTGTTTAATGGGATAGATCTTAAAGCAGCTTTGAGGTTTGTGGTTTGTTTTTATTTGTTTTGTTTTTTTATTCTTAAAAAGAAATGCACTTGCCTATTATACTGTTTCCTCAGTGTAAGACGATTCCTGCTCCAATATTCTCGATAATACAATATTGTGCATGCTGGTGACGTATTTATGTAAGGTAGCTTGACTTTATTAACTTATACTGTAGGTGTTATGTATTCCTATGAACAAGAAATGACTAGACTTCAAACTGATTTTTTATTTCCTTTTTATTATGAGTTTCTTTTTTTTTTCCATTTGCTGAAGTACGCTATACCAAATCAGTGATTGTTAACAATAAATTGATCTGTTATGGACGTTGCTTAGTGACATGCAGTTCTGTATTTGATTTGTTAAAAGCGGAAGAAAACAACACCAGTGTTAGCTTACTCTTACTGTCTGGTGTTTGTCATGGTGAAATTATAATTATTACAGTGTAAACGATTAATATGTTGTTCTTAGAATGACCTTTCTGTTTGTGCTCTCTTCTGTCATGCAGTGAACTGTTTAAGGTTTCAACAGTGGTTTATTTTATCAGAATCAGTGTTTCTGTAAGGAGTTCCTTCACACACGGACCATTTTATTTATTTTGGATTTTTTAGCTGTCTCCTGAGTGATGAATATATTGAATGTGAGTCAATATGTAGCGGTCGCACAAAATAAAAAAAAAAGAGAGAGCTCTTCTACTGCACCATTTCATAGCTGGTTGTGGGGAGTTGTTCTGCATTGTCATTATGGAGTACACCCTTGTTTCTAAAGAGATCATGACATGGTTTCATGCTCCTGATATCACGGGCCTTTCCTCACTTCTGTGACTTGACACTTTCTTTTACCTTCTTTGCGATAAAATGGCTTTTTGTTTGAATGGAACATTGTTAAAAGTCAAGTAAAAAGAGTAGGATGCTGGAACCAGCATTACTGCAGGTACCCTGTATGCAGCTGACATTTATTCTTATTCTTATTTATTTATTATTTAGTGTAGTTAATTTAGAATAGTCATGAATTGAATTGTATTGCTGTTGTTTCTCAGGGTTGTGTTGGATCTAGCAGTAGGGAAAATGGTTGTTGTAGTCCCATTCATTGTAGGCGGAATGGAAGTTCCCTTTTTTGTGTTTTTTTTTCTGGGAAAATGTGGTTGTGTTCTCAACGGGGATTTGGCGTGGGACGTCTTCATTCATTTTGCGTGACATTGCTTCTCAAGAAAAAAACAAACGCAGGAATCTGGAGAGAGGCACGCTTGCTGGTGGTGGGAGAGACTTGTAAAATGAGAGGCGCTTCAGACCTAGATTCACAGAAACATATTCTGTTACACCGCATCATGGAAAGGCAAGAACGGGCTAGGACACTTTCAAGAACAGGCAAACTGTGCTGTCACACATAACAGAACTAAGTACAGCAAGCATGGTACATGGGCCATTTCCATTCCACCCTCACCTCCAACACATTTGGCTTTCTCCTCTTTGATGGTATTGCAATTTACTTACATCTGCTCATGGAAGCCCTAAGCTGCACAACAGCAGTTATGCAGGGGGTTAAGCTTTTAATTTAAACATCTCAAACACCTCAAATCAGACCTACATCTGGGGTTACAGATGAAAATCTACTACTTGGCCTTTTTCATTTCTACTACATGGCTGGAAAAAAAGAGTACAAAGGCATTTTTTGTCCTTGAAAATGAAAACCCAAAGAGAGATGCATTGTTCTCATCTGTCGTAGAGTGGTACAGGGGTCAGAGTGAGGAGCGAGGTTAAGTGAATCACAGCTGCTTTTTCAAAAACGGAGGCCATACCGTATGTAATAATGGGCAGTTGATGAGATGCTAGAAGAATGAAAGTCCTTTGTTTATAGAGAAAGTATCTCGCTTGGAAAAGGCAGGAAGAAACAGGGATGGATCTTCTTCATGAACCTTCTCTGAAGGTTTAATGAGGGATCTGTACAGTGGATCATTTGCAGAATTGGGAGTAAACTCTTTAAACAAAGGGCATGTTACGATGGGGAGATTTAAGGGAAGTGCTGGTTTAAATATGGAAGTGGGAGGGGGTTACTTCTGATTAAAGTATTCCCACTTTGGGGAATTTTTGCTGTGGGGTTGGTGAGGGAGAGTGGCAGACTGAGAAGTGAAAGAGATGGGTTGCATCGAAGCCCGATGGTGACAGGAGAAAGCAGAGTTAGTACAAGCAATTCCTGAAGTCAGGCACAGGAACGAGGGAATAGCTAAAGGACAGAAGTACTTTCATCTTCAGGACATCTTCCACCAGCAGAGAGTGGCAGATAACAGCTACCGCTGTTCTTTACTGATAAGCCACTGACAGGTCCTCCAATGAGGATTCTCTGTGACCTTAAAAAGTAGTTAATATCATCAAATTGTTACTGAAAATTCAAAGGCGGAAGCAGTTCTGAAACATTGATCAAGGAGCACCGAGTAGCTAAGAATAAATGACAGGTCAGACGTCCCAGACCAGCCTTATTAACCCTGCTGCATAAATTAATATTTAACTTCTCACCTTTCAGGGGCACAATTCCAAGATCCAGCATGAAATAAAATTGAATTCAATAAAAGGGATAGATAGAAAAACCCAATGCTGAACAGTTCAGAACATCAAATGTGAGTCTAAGTGATTCTTACAGTCCCTTGTATTTATACTGTACAGCACTTTTCACCCTGAAGAACCCCCGATTACATACGGAAGGGTATTTATCCGCCACCAAAGTGCGGAGGTCATAATAAAGCAGCAGCCCCACTACATGACAGACCAGGTGGAGGTGTGAGAAATGAATTGAATTAGGGAAATTTGAAGGGGGAAGTCACGCAAGGCCAGATTATGAAAGCCCAGAGTGGAATTTAGCCAGAACACGGGGGGGGGTTTGGAAAAGTGCTACTGTATGTCCAGTTATTGTGGACCTACATAGTTTCATCCATAGGACAGTCCCTGCTAATGCATGGTGTACCCAGTTAAACAAAATTATTCCACTTAAAAGGTTCCTGCCTATTAAACCAAGCTGAAGAAAGTGATTTTGCACCTCCTTGAAGTGCTTCACTTGTGAGGAACTCACATTCTGTGTCATTCTCCAGGCAGGGAACTCGCAGTTGAAAAGACCAATTCAGATCAACACAATTGCAAACCCAGTGACTGACATCTCAAGAGCCAGGCTGGGAATGAACACTTCTAAACATCTTAGGTTAAGTTTACCAGGACTATTTTAAACATTTTGTTGACTAGCAGGGGAAATGTGTTCTTGAGGGGACCTGGATTGTTACATTAAAACAGATTTGCTGCATTTGCATTTCAGCAAATAGCTACAGTACAAAGAGCTGAGACTTAGGACAGTCACCTGGGTGAGATGCAGGAAGTGCTCATGACTAAAAACTCATTGTTATGCATCTGCAGCATCTTAATCTGAATTATTTTGCTGATGCAGTTATCTCTTTTAGACCTTAAATCACAAGGAGTTTATCCACACAGTCATGAACCCACAGATACTCTCTTTACGGCTGGCAGGGAAAATCTGCTGTTCCTACAGATTCAAGGGCAGCAGCTGTGGGGAAAGCAATAGACTTGAGGTCTTAGATAAGTCTATATTCTGAGTCACTAGTGAGGCTTCTCCTGCGGCTTGTGACCTTTTGCAGGAGTTTGGCCGATGGCTGCCAATCCACATAATTCACGTGATGAAACAGTGGTTTAGTTTGGGTCATGCACGCCCTCTAATGCACTCTTTAAAACTGACTGGAGAAACAGACTTTACACAGGGTAGCATTATCTGCCAGATCTGCATCCCAGAATCCTCCCTTTTTCCCCACTCTTAATTATCAGTGTACTGTACAGCTGTTACCATGCGACAAGAGTAGATAGTTGGTTTTGTCATCATATTGTTGGGAATAGCAGGGTGGGAGGGAGAGAGTTGTTACTTTAAGTCCGAACCCGCTCTCTTCTGATGAATTTGTACATCTGAACAGAACAAAAAGGATCTCAACTGCTTCAAAGCCACTGTTTTTGTCTCTTTAAAACGTGTGGAGTGAAATGGTTTACACAATTACTTACGAACACATTTTGTCTTCTCATTCCTGTTCACACTGACGATTAGTATAGTGTTCAGTCCTTAAAAAACGAAAAACATTGCGAACAGGTTGCAACTCACAGGATTTCATGGCTGTTTATGCAACAGTTTATAATTATATGCATGCTCTGCTACATCATTCTATAGAAACTGAGTAGGCCAGGGAAACAGGAAGACAACCAGGGAACCATGACAACAGTCCTAAGGGGCCAAGCCATCTTTTACTTGCCTGTCTGCAAGGGCAATGTCTGGCTCGGGTGTCATGAGGAAAAATGAGTGCTAGCAAAAGGCCCATTTCAGGAGGAGGGAGAATCCTTAGAAGAAAAGTGGTGTTTGATCAAGTACTGTTGTAAAAGCATGTGTACGTTTTAGGAGAGTCGGTTGCCTTCTGTTGCTCATTAAAGATATTGGTTTCTTGACATAAACTGAAAACCTTTTGTCTTTTGTTTCTCATTACGTTCACACAAGGGCAAGACCTCTCACCTCGTTTGCAGCTCTATTGCAAAGTATTTCCTAATCAGATACTGTTGGAATTAGCCTCAGTCTTGGGTCTCACTTCAGCCACCATACTGTACAGTATGTTGATTATAGGAAAGAAATGTAACTAAAGCATGTGACTGTATGACGTTAGAAGTCATATAAAACCTATTCAGATTTGTCCATCTGCCTGGGGTGTGTTCAGCCATGAGAAATACAGTACAAGGAAACCTATGTGGACAGTTCTGATAAGTGAAACTATATTCAAACTATATTTGCTACTGACGTTAAATATTATCTGGATTCAATTCCATCTGGATTCAATTCCATCTGGAGACTGAAATGAAATCATATTTAGGGATTTGGGGATTTAATTTTCCAAGAAGTGCTCAACACATCTTATTGCATATTCCTCTATTTTAAATGCCTTTGACCACCTTTACAGTTATAATAATTCTGCTTTATTGTCAGCCTGCTGTCACTTTGGGTGATTTGACTTGCATCAATCCAGGCACCTCTGAGGTGTGAACCACTAGTGTAGCTCAGACAACCATGTGCAGAAATCTAGTTTGCAGGCTTTTTTTAAAACAGTTCTTGGTTAACCTGCACTGTCCTAGAATTCACATATCACATTCGCTCATGTCCGAGTTCTCACGTAACACATGAACGTTTTCCATTTTCAAAAGTCTAAACGGACTAAATAAGACACATTTAAGATACAATTTAAATAAAAGGTGCAGTGTAAATTTGTCCAGTCGCCAAAAATCTATACCTGGAGCTGCTCAGACAAAAAAAAAAGATTTTTGGAATTAGTTCCTGCCACCTCAAACAGCCCCTTCAATTCATGATGAAGAAGTAAACATGTGAAAAGTAAACACAGTACAGGACTGTGGACCACTGTCTATAATACAATCGTTCAGGTCTTTTCATGGGGGCATCTAGTGAACCCCCTGCCCCTCTTCCGATTCTACACTTCACCCGAGCAGCAACATGGGTCCTCAAGACCTGCCGAAAAATCTGTGTTATTAAATTAAACTCCATCGATCTCTTTCATCCAAATATTCCCTTCAACCTTTGATGACCCTTTTTAATTTAACAATAAGAACAAGAATCACAGATTACTTTCACATCCACAGATATCATATTTCATATCAGATTCATATCTACCCGATTTGAAATCGCCAAATGACAGACACTCCCACCTGTCAGTCATGAATCTTTAGACAGGCTGTAAGCTCCGCAGTGCCTGATAGGGCTGCAGACTGGAGGAGCAGGACATCTCTCACTGGCAAGCTTACAGGCTTCAGGCAGGATGCCAAGCTACCCTGGGGGCGCCACCATTTTGGGAATTGCCACGTCTGGGCCATGGTGCGTGGGCCGTGGAGCTTGACCTGTGCTCCATGGATGAGTTTCTGGATGAGCCACGCCGGAGTTCAAGCGATTACCTCCCAAGAGCTTTTCAAGTCCATACGGGACTTCAGGAGGGCGGGACTGCGGTGCCGATCTCAGTGGCAGCGCACGCTGAGTTGAATCACAAAATACAGAATCAACAGCAATTAGAGATGCCACAGCACAATGGCATCCCTGCAGTAGGCCCTGCTCGGCATTTTTATGCAAATAGAAGCAGCTGTTCATTGGAAAAATAAGCTCCAGTCTTATCCTGACTCAAGCTCCAAAGAGAGTCTGAAAAGACCAGCCCCAATCAGAGGCCAGGATTGAACAGCTAGTCATCCCCAATGTGAAAATTACTCCATTTTGCTGTTGAAAATCAATTCTTTTGTTCTTCAGAAAGCTCTCCATCATCACAAAATTGAGTACCTGTGTAATTTTTTTTTACATTCTTTTGTTGCGCAGTGTATTTGTTAAAAGCATGGAAAAAAGCCCATGGAGTATCCTGGCCAGAGTGTGCTGAAAACCTTGTGAAATGAGTGGTGGCAGATTAATAAAAGGCATCCTCAACAGAGAGTGACAGGAAGTGAGGTGGGGGAAGATGTTTAGTGTGGCGCAAAAAATCGATGTTTTACTACACAGTAACTTAAATGTCTTTTTGGAAGCTTTTATCCTTTAAAAAGAAAATGCAACATGAAATGAATTTAGAAGTTGTAACCTATTCTAATGCTACTGTATAGCCTCAGCAGTTCTAGGTCTGAAACCTGGTGTCTCCTGTGTGAATCATCTGGTAAACCCCTGTTTGGAGTGTGTGTTTCAGAGGAGAGAAAACCGGCCGTGGGGTTTTGAGTTCTAGCTTTTAAAACTTCCAAATTGCAAGGCATATGGAACCAAAAAGCACAATAAGCAAGATGAACGTCCCCTGCACAATCGTAATTCACAGTATTCTACAAATTCCTCTTCAGCTTGCACAGCCATGTAAAACACCCATTTTCTGCTTTTTTAAAAGTTTGTCAGTAATTCAAGCAACATCTGTTCGGACTGTGAATTTGACTTGAAAATGTTGGTTCAAGTGATTCATGTGTGAGTATTTCATTGTTTCATAGCGTGAAGGGAAAATAAATAACATACACTAAATGTCATAGAGGTGGACCAGCAGTACCAGGTTTTCCAGGTTCATGAGCCTAGGAGCTTGACATCTGCCTCTTGGTCACACTGGAGTTAAGGAAACCATATCCTACAGGTCGGAACAAACGAGGAAAGGGGAATTTAAAAAGGTTTGAATTTTATGTCCTAAAACCTATAACTTTAAGGGCTCTTCGGGCATGCTTACAGCCATTTAAAAAGGCTCAGGATACTTAAAGGAATTAAATCTTGTTCTGAGCTCCATCACACAGTAAACTATTGGGTTCTCTGATGCTCTATTTACACTTGCAGTGTATAATGAGGCTTGTATTAAGGAGTACAGATACTGTCTTACACTTTGCTCAAGATCTGCACTGCACTGCGACTGCGGCTTCCCTCTTTGCTCCTGCCTGCATTGCTGCAATGCAGAGCAGGGAATGAGCAGTCAAGCTGTCATCTGAGCAATGCAGCTCTGCCTTAGCTGGATCAGAGAGGCTGCACTGCCATTGTCTCGCTGCTTTCTGAACTCCAGCTTATCAATGTGGAAGAAAGTACATTCACAGTCATTTCTAGCTTACAATTTTCTATATATGAAAAATACAGCTAAAAATCTGCTCCAGTACAAACTCCTGATTTAACTAATTCCAAAGCATTTGTTTTATACTGTTTTAATCCGGTACGATTCTTTGAAACAGAATGACATACACAGCAATGTTTGTTAGCACCTAGGCTGTCTGCCGAGGTCACCAATTAACCTGAACAATATGGCTTTGGACTGCAGGCTGAAAAGAGCACCATAAGAATTTCATAATCAAAATCCACACAAAAGGTGCTCTAGACAGGAACACTGTGCCACCTTCAGTTTGAATTAAACCTTTGGTCTGCAGCTCATTTTACATCTTGTTACTGGGGTGACAACTATACAATTGTCTCCTCTTTTGGCTTAAATTGGATCAATGTGAAACATATCCATGTGTAACATCCTTATTGATAACTTCCACACTCAGTGCTGCTCTTTCCCAGATGAGTCTGCCCTCTGCTTGTTTTATTTAAATTAGTGTTGCTTAACCGTGTGCTGTTTGTGCTTCAACAATGCCTAACCAATGTTTTTAGCTCAGTATGTTCACGCATTATTGTTAAACTGCACAAGACAGGACTGAGAGCATATAGCTGCGATACCAGTCAGAAATATAGGACAAACCAGAGTATCCACCATCCCTAGCCGAAACTACTTTCCGGGCTGGGAGAAAACTGGATCACCTGAACATGAGGAGAACACTCAAGCTCCACATATACTGTAAGAGCATGATGTAGAGGTAAGACAGTCAAGTTCAGAACAGACATCAAGAACTCTAACTCAAGTCTGTAGCTGCACTTGTTATATGACATGCTGTACATAATGTAAGAGATACACTGCATGTTTGTTTGAAATAGATCTTCTGAGCAGTGGAATTGTAATTTAATTAAATATGAAGACTATTTTTCCCAGTCAGGGTGCAGCTTCTATATATATTGTAAAACTCCTGTGCCTTCTTTTAGGTAACACAAACTTACTCTACAGCAAAGGTTTCGTTGAAAATATATGTTTTGTTTTCTCCAATATAAGGGTGATTTAATCTTCCGTCTGATTGTACTTTAATTCCCTGTATAAAGCTTTAAGTAGACCAGTCATTACCTGACTTGTGTGTGTTGATCAAACATTAGCTAATGCATGTCAAAATACCTGCCGCATGAGCAGGGGTGCTTCAAAGCTAATAGCTTATGGTTATTCATGCACATCTGTCTACTACATGCAAAGCCAGGACTTTGCACTGTCTGACAAACCAAAGTGGCAGGCAGTAAGATCTTCGAAGCCTGGACTGCAGCCCCCTAGAGTGACTCTTTCGTGAAATGAATTTCTACGGTTAGAGCTATCTCTTCGTAGCCAATGACAGCAAGGCTTGGGCTGGGCAACAGCCAATCGCTTCCTTGTTGCTAGGGCTATAATAAGCATCCCATTATTAGCACAACTCCCTGCTGCACTGCTCAGACACCTATCACATCCTACAAAAAGATAAAGCATTCCAGCAGCTGAGTGCATTAAAATTCTGGAGGAACCTGGGCTCAGAGGCTGGGTTGTTGCGCATTGCTGCACCGTCTCTAAATGGAGAACTGTGCCAGCCTCAGCACTGAGGGCGACCCAAATTCCCAATTGGTAAAAAAAACATTATATACTTTTAAGGAGTAACAACAGAAGTAAGGATCACCAACATAAGCAGACATGATGGGTGAAGATGGGTGTCTGTCTGTTAAGCAGTTTGAACTAAAATAGCTACAGGTGACACAAGGACAAGGTGACCTTGGAAGCAAATTTCTGTAAGCTGTCCTTCCTCATCTGTCCTCTGTTCCTCTCCTCTGCAGTTACTTTTTTCACAGCTGAAGAAGGTGCTCATAA